CCGCCTTCTGTCTAGGCCCCGTCTTGTATATTGCTACCACGGTTGCCTTCCGCCAGTCCTTTGGCACTACCCCGGAGGTCAGTAATGCCTTAAACAAATCAGTAACAGGTCCAAGTATGACCCCAACCAGTGACTGGACAATAGCTGGGTGGATCTCATCCGGACCCGCAACCTTATGCTTGCACAGGCTTATGAGCTCGGTTCGTACCTCCTCCTCACTCACGATTAACATCTGCAGTTCGATTGTAATGTTATCCATCATAGGTTCCAGGCTCCACCACCCTGGGATGGACGATAGACAATTCTGAAGTAGTTCATCAGGGTCTCAGCCCGGTCGTTATATGTACTGGTTATGTTACCGTTCGCCATCTCTAAGGTTCCAACACTTTCACGTGTGGTTCCCTTAGACTGTACATAGGCAATAAACGGGTTTGTTTTGATGTCTCTAGCTAGTTTCTTTTCGTACTCGTACTCAGCTTCCCTCTGCGTTGTCTGCATTATTTCTGGCCAGCTTGTAGTTGACCCAAGAACTATGCGTTCCGTGAAGCTTGTAGAAAACCCAGCACCTTCTGAGACATGTGAGCGCTCTTTCTATTCTAGGTGACCGCCAAGGCGGTCTGTTTCTGGATCTGCGAGGCACCAAGGGAGAAAACTCTTGCGGTAACCGTAGCAACCCGTCTCGTATTGCCATCCATCGTTCTTCGACTGATGGTGCAAGTGAACCAGGAAACCAGCTTATGCTCTCAGCAGCTACCTTTAGTTGCTCCTCGTTGATCCTGGCGTAGTTTTTTTCTAGCTTACCGATCGGCCCGTGGTGTCTCACAAACTTTAGTCGCGGTACCCCGTGGGCACTCTTTCCTAACGGTTCTTCCGTCACAAGAGAAGTGGGATCCGTTCTGCACCTAGTTATAACTAAGTCTAACGTTCACTGATGGAGGTGCTCGGCAAAAAGATGAGTGAGGACTCGTTAGAGTTGAAATCGACCGATCGAGAACAGCACCTGGCTGATATTTTAACTCAGCAGACTGGTGCCTACAGTACCATTGATGAAGGGATGGTGCACGACACAGTGGAGACGATAAACACCACGTCCCCAACGGTCACTGAGCTTGATGCATCACGTGAATATGTGATTCAGGATCATCCAATATCGTCGGCTTGCATCCCTACCGAGACGTCTCTGAAACTGTGGCGTCAACTAGCCGATCTGAAACTTCACGAAGTCGGTCACAATTCAGTCCGGCTTTGGACTGACATGAACTTCCCAAAAGCCCATCGGACCATTCAGCAGCGACTGTGAGGGAAAATGCAACTGTACACAAACGTTACACTATTTAGTTTTGTAAACTTCCGACCCAACGGAGGCACCAGAGTTACAAACACCTCAGTTAATCACATCAAAAATCAATGCTCCATTAATGACGGTACTCTGAGATCCCTTAACACCGAACTTATTGGTAAGGAGTTATTAATCTGAACGGCTATCTTGGGAGAAGACAAGCAGAGCTTGGATCCCACAATCCGTCCAATGAACATAGCCGGTCGGCGTTTCGTGATACCCGGACTGCGGAGAAAGCCTTGGCACGAGATGCCAGATAGGCACGCTAGGGTAGAGAGACATCTATATCCACGAAAGCGCCTAAAAAGGCATGCTATTGGTGCGACTACTACCACAAAAAACTGTGTGGAATGGCATCGTTATAATCGAGGTGCTAACAGCAAACCACATACTACTACCAAACCTACATCTTAACCTGGTTGATACATCTGTCGACCGTAGAGATCGGTACACAAGGCACTAGAGACAGGGAATCTTACTGGCTAATACCTTCTGGCGTTGTTGGTTTGACGCATACGTTCATCTTCTCCATATGCGTCAAAAATGGTTGAAGAATAGACGTAGCCTGCAGACGGGTGACTTTGTACGGATCAGCGAACACCAGGTCCCGAGGAACCCATGGTTTAACAGAATTGTGAACACTACAACTAGCGGAAATGGCCGAGTACGCAAGGTTTAAGTTCAGAATGTCAAGGGCATCGTCACGATAGATATAAGGATAAAATGCTGTTAGAAGTAGTAGAGTAAGTGGCACAACGGTGCACTGTCAACATACAACTGCGATTGTGGCAAGAGTAAATTGTACCACTTTCGTTGGTCGTGTGTCTGAGTGTGCAAGGCAGAATGTATTGTCTTTGCGAAGCCGTGGCGGCTTATGGAGGGCGGTGTAGAATAAATTCTGCCTCATATTGACACTCTTTACATTCACACACCCAGCACAAGTATCCTATTGTTCGTTGTCATCCCTTGGCCGTGTATTGTTGATTTCATCTCCTCATTGATCCGCGTCTATGACTGTTCTCCACGCCGTTTACACATACGCACGCACTATTAGTATATTTGCCCCATTACGTTGAAATCTGTCGGTCTCACCCGTCTCATCGCCCCGTCCCCATGATCGATTGAATCTGACACTTGTGTACACACACGCACGCACAAACCTACACCGATTCATCGCACTGTCCGGTCACGATGGGCCTTGATGACATATTCACACCCACTGTGTTGTGATTGGTTCCCTCTACTTTGCTTCTCACTATTGACCACCTCAGATTCATGTGATCTGGTTCGATATTGTCCGGTGTATTGGTTCTATTGTCATCGCACTGCGCGCCTGCTTGCTCGCAGTTCGTGCTTGTCGAATAACTGGCTTCACAGATACCAGTGTTTGTTAACCGGCCAGTGCCAGAGTTTGAGGTTTTCACATTTTACATTATTGTAATCTTTATTTCAGTACCGCTTTTGTAGAAGAAACCCATTTGTTGAAAGACTCCGTCTTCCGGCAGATTTCACCAAAATCGCAATTTGTAAATCAGATGTACATTAAGAACTCAAGCGCAAACCAGTAAACTCCAGTAGAATCCATTCAGTCATATTAGCCGCTGGCAGGAGTGCTACCCGGGCCAATGGCTGTACTTTTCAGGGTGCTG